TATATATATATAAATGTTTTCTAAAACTACCCATACATGTAGAACAATTTAAGAAGAAAATATTTATTATTTTATTTCCTTTTGACGTAGCCTCCAGTTGGTCCACCACAGTGCTATACAGAAATCGACCAAAGAGCTTCGTGACATGTCCAAAAATAGAGAGATAGCATGGCCTCTTTCAACACTTCCTGTGTTTCATCCAGTCACTGGTGAGATTGTACCACCGCTTCACACAGACAGCTATGATAATACTAGCATGCCACTAATGCAAACACAGCAGTAAGTATAAATTTAGATCTTTTATATTTATAACTATGCTGCACAGTGGAGCTGTGGAATCCAGTGATTTTTTTCTGACTATTCATTATAGAGGGATCAGTTAAGTTCTCTGTGAAACTTGCATTCTAAACAGGAATCAAATTGTGTTACACAATTTAAATATCTGAATTCAGCTTCCTAAGTTAACAAAAGTTCCATAACAAGGCAGTTAACTTTTACAGCAGGAACACTAAAATGCTCTGTTTTCAAACTTTTTCCTTGTTTTCCTAATATTTCTTTTTGGGTTATCTCTTTAAACAACTACAGTCACCATATAATCAGAGTACCATATACAAATGCACCCTGAAACCATTTCAAACACAGTCTATATTTGAAATTTTAAAATAAAACACAAAAGCTAGTTCACTTTAGAGAATAAAGAAAAGTTAACCCACAAAATTGTTAAGAACTGCCAGCTACTTTAATTGCTAACAGCGTCCCTCCTAAAGTAAGAGTGAAAATTCTGAAAGGCAGAGATTGTTATTTCTAAGCAGGAGGTGTAAGGGTGATGCAAGAATAAGGCTTGGTGGACTTGCTGTAACAATAGCACTGTAGGAGCCAGGCAGCCCTTCATGGAGGCATTAGTACATTTTAGGCTTTCCGTTGCAATGCTGCCTGGGTTTGGAGAACAGAAACAGTAACACTGCCAAACTCTTCAAATACTGACCCTATGCGACTTAAATCAACTTAGTTAAGTCACCTTATTTTAAGTCTGTTTGGTATGTGTGAACGCACCCATTGTGATTTAGAAGTGCTGGACTCCCTGTGCCTGCTTGTATATGCATACCTCCAGCCAAAATTTGTTTTACTTATTCACATCCCCAAGTCATCTCTTTTGGGTCTTTGCTTCTTTAAGAAGCGCTTTGCTCCTCAGATATCTGGGCAGTCTTCATACTTGCTTTTAGTACACTGAGTAGCAGCTGTAGAAAAAAAACAAGGACAGGAGACAGGGATGAGAAGGCAGAGAAGTAAGCAGGAATTAAAGGGTGAGAAGGGCAGGGTTAAGGTTTTGTTGGGGAAGAAGAAATCAAGCTTCAAGATGCAAGAGAAAAAGAATAGGCAGCTTAAAGTAAAACTGTTCCCTCTCCCAGCTCAAGTCTCATGTTTTCCTGAGTACAGTCTCATTGCTTCATTTCCTTCTGCCCTGCATACTTCCTGTATCCTTCTTTCTATATTCCCCATTTTTAAGGTCTCACAGCTCCATGTCTCCCTGCAGATGTCTTTAAGGCTGCTACTTGGTTCTTACTGTCTCCATGAACTACCCAAATACCTCTGTCCCTACAGCTCTGAAGGGACTAGCTTTGAAGGAAAGGGAGAATAGAGCAATAAAACTGGGTTTTACATGGTGACATAGGGGAAAGGCAAATAGGCCGCCATCAAGGAGGGCCATGGGGCTCTGAGGGGCCATAGCAGACTAGGATTCTGTGTGGAAGTGTGCAGGGGAGAATGTGCGCCAGGACTGGTTGTTCTCTATGTACATAACTGTCCAAGTGCCATAATAATTTAAAATGCTGGGAAATATCCCATCCCAAAAGTTCAGTGTGCTGTAGATTAAGGTTGTTGGTTTACATATCCCACGAATACAAACAGTAAAAAGAAAGTAAGCAGTTGACAGTTACAGCATTTAACACTCCATCTACAGTTCAGGCCAGAACTGGCTGAAAGATGCAAATCCTTTCCTGCGAAAAAATGGTCAGCGTGAATCAGGACAGAGTCAAATCATGAAAACTTTGCAGGGAGAAACGTCCAGAAAAATTACATTTGGGGAGGACTGAAATGGCATCTTTTGGTTTGTTTGCTGCTCACCTGGCTGGTTCTTGCCAGGTGCACTTTCACTTCACACATGGAAAGTAAAATTGGCAAGAGCCTTCCAGATGGCCTGCTGGGGGCTGAGTATCCTGGCTGTGGGAAGTGGAAAGCTGCAGTGTTCAGCCTTGTCATCTTTCCCTCTACCAGAAAGCCTTCCTGGGAGGCAGGCTGTGGAGGAGTTGGCAATGCTAACACCTTGGCTTGCTGCCTCCCTGACAACTGGGGTGGTGGGCAGGCAGATAGTCAGGGAGATCAGCTTCCAGTAGCCCATCTGAAAGGCTTTTGTTAAGCTTACTTAAGATGAGCTTTCTATGGGGGAAGCCAGGTGCCATTGTTCCAGTTTTTCTGGTGGAAAAATAATTTTACCATATGGACTTTTTTTGGTTGAAAAAAATCACTGTGATGGAAAGTTCCTGATTAGTGCTAGTTCCATCATCAAATTGTAGCCTAGACTTACCTGTCCAAGTACCCAGTCTGTGTATTTTCACTCTTTTGTGTCAGTATTGCCAATTCTTGCAATATTTGATACATTTCTTAAAGACACAGCAACTGGATGCATGTGAGGAGGGGAGACTCAACTTTAATTGAAAAATGTTTCTAGCCCTTACATTTGCAGAGAAACTCAAAATTCAAAAGAAAGTCAATAAATATTGGATTGTTTGTATTTTTTCAGTATCTCCTGATTGTTTATGGTCAGCCTTTTGACGTTTAAATGCTTGAAGTTGTCAGTGTCGTGACATTTAATACTGGAATACTATTTTAAATATAACATACTAGAATATTGGAATAAATAGAAGAAACCCACTGCTATTCATTTGTTCTTTAAAGAATGTGATTATGTTCACATTGGGCATATTTTTATTGATTTTTAAGGACTGTTTTTGCTGTTTTGGAAAAATTATAGTTAAGTAAGTTCTGTATAACAACATCTAGCTAGCCTGAGAGCTAGAAAATAAAATTTCCTGCAAGTTAAAGTGAAACAACCAACAGTGTTCCATTATCTACATAGTTTACCTTTTTAATCAAATAGCACAAATGGTAATATAGATTTTGAAACAGAGTATAGTTCTTCCTATTCAAAGGTTACTAGAAGCCCAGAAAAAGCTTTTTAAAAACCAGTTGTTAAATTTTATTTTGACAATGCCCCTTTATTGTCATTTCCTCATCGTCTCCATTTCAAGGGAGTACTATGTACTACAGATTAAAGCCAAAGTAAACATTATCATTGCTAGCTGTTTGCAGATAGATTATATAGTTCTTAACTAATAGCATTTAAATAATGATATCTTGTTTTATATCTATATTGTGCAAATATGAAGAAATATTTTGGATAAGGATATTATAATATAGTAGTGGATTAAACAGAAATGTCTCTATCCTGCCAAGTCTGTTTTTTAAAATAGATATTACCAATACAAAATGGTGTAAAAATATAAAATAGGTTGCAATAGAAAATGTGTTCTTCTTGGAAAATACATGCACACACACTACAGGGTCTTTGCAGCCACTTTCGGTTACTGTTCTTTTCCACCCTTCCTTTTCCTTTTTCATGTCCTTGTGTGACAATATATTTAGCAGAATTCGCAGACTTGTTGAAATCTGACAGGGCCACACCATGAGCGCTTCTCCTGTGGCCTCAAGCTTGCGACCTCAGGACTGTCAAACAATAAAAAATAACAAATATTGCAGAAGTTTCACAATAATAATATTTAATCTTCCCAAGGGCCCTCTACTGGCTCTTTAAGAGCAGTTACTGATACATTTCCAAAAGCAAATATGCATTCCTGACTCTGCCTTTAAATAATAAATAGATTTTTTCTCTATTAATTGACTTAAACACTATTTTCACAATTATTGATTCACTTCCATCAATTATAGAGAGACAATATGAAAATTGGGCAAAATTAACAAGGAGAATACAGTAACTCTGAACCTGTTAAAGACTCAAATGCGGGCAATAGTCAAACATGAAGGACACAATAGAATTTTTAAGCCAGGAAATTTAATATATGATGGAGTTTCTCTTCCATTTACATACCATTCTTAATAACACCTCATCTAAAGTTAGAGCAGTCCCTGTTTAATAGCAGTTGACAGTATGGTTGGGAAATTTATAGAGCATTATTACTTACCTCAATAGTTTTATGTAGAAAAGAGAAGAATCTACTGTAATGAAAGGACCTGCCATTAATAAGCAAGAAGCAGGAACTGAGAAAATATTTTTACACATTTTGTCCATGTTCCTGCAGCTGTGGATTGTTTCTTACGGTGCTTTCTTCAGCATTTATAAGCTCAGTTCTAATACCTTTGTTCATATAGTGGGATAGCTTACACTTTTAATGTGATTTCAGTATTGCTCATCAAATAAAAGGTACTAATCAACTTGAGTAAAATGATCAGAATCTGGGATGAGGAAAGGGTGCAAGAGGTCAGAGTTAAAAAATAAGTGCCTTGTGATGGGGTAATTTTGGGGCAAATATTTTACGTTTATGGGCCACTTGCTTAGTTGTTATGTGACTTTCTCTATAATTTTAGCTTTACATTCTCTTTTCATTTTCATCCTATAATTCTTTCCTTAAATTCCTATATATCATCCAGTCAAATCCTGTTCACTATCCTTCAGATTTGATAAATATTTTTAGACAATCCCTAGGAGGTACTATAGTTTAAAACAAATTACTTAGCTCCTTATCTTTTATTTCATCCTTTCGCCTTCCTCTTATTTCTATTTACTGATCTCTTTTGAGATTCCCTCCTGCTTATCCATCTTGCGTTGCTGAGATAACTAGAACAGAAACAGCTATCTAGCTATGGCTATAACTTAGTGGGAGTTGAGGGTAGTGAATCCTCATACTATTTAGTCTATTAGAGAGACAATCATTTTTTTCCATCAAATTATTTCTTGCCTAAGGGACAGTCATCATTATTTGTATTATGACAATACCTGAAGTTTACAATCAGTACTGGAACCTCTTTATTCTAGATACTGTACAAACATATGTTGGGGAGAAATGAAAATGTAAGGAATAGTTTTTGGGCTGTGCAATCTTAAAACTAAGATTGTTCTTACCTGTTTCTCAGGATGGTTCACAGCGTTCCAAGTTGACTTTTATTTTTTGACGACATTCCTGGCCTTCCTAGAGCCCTTCATGTTTCTCAGTTTTACTTTGTAATCACCTCACAATTTAATAAAACTTGCACCAAAACACTTCTTCATTTAGAGGCAGATAAAAAAGAGGGTTTGGGGGAGCGGGGGGGAGAGAGAGAAAAGCTTAACACAGAAAACAAGACCTAGGTAGGACTTTCAGCTCAAAACTGCAATCCAGAAAGGTTTGTTCAAGTAGCTGCTCAACCTTGGAGGTGCCTGAATTAATTAGGCACCTCCCTGTTTGACCTGAAAGAACACTAGACATCTACATTTCTACTTCTGTTGATGCCCACAGCTGCCAGTGTCTGAGCAGCTAGGTACCCACCTACTTCCTGCCTAGATGCCACTGGGATCCCGAACCTAAACCAAACAGCACCTGTGTGGCCCAGTCCAATAAACATGCTGGCTGTGTCCAAATGTGCATGGATGTTTGGTTCCTTAGGGACAACTAGTGGTGGTGCAACTTGTGCCACTGCTAGTTGTCCCCGGAAAAGCCTGTGCCACACGCAGTCTGGCATGTGGCAGCTTACCCCAGGTGGGGTAGGGGAGACTGGGACCAGCACTGGGCTGGCCCCAGCAACCTTACCTGGGGGCCTCCTGGGGCTGCAGCAACAGTGATCCTGCCACGTGGAGTCTGGCTGGCAGTAGAGCGTGGCTCCGGCTTTGGGCAGTGCACACTTCCACTGTATGCACCACTCTGGTTTTTTTGCCTGCGTTTTTTTTTGACCCTTGGATACCCAGGGGTCAAAAAGCTCTCCGTGCCGCTTCCTTGCAGTGTGGAGAACAACTGAACACGTGGTATGTGGTACCATAGATGCATTTGTGTGCCACATTCTGCATGGCTGCGCTTGTCTCGATGTGGCCATTTAGAGCTCATTTATGGTATGGAGTTCAGCACAAAACAGTGCCCATGGCTGTCAAAAAAACATGGGTTGCCCTGTTGTGTGGCCACCCCTGCCTTTTACACAGTAGTGTTTAGAGCAGTGATTCTTGACTGGGGTGCTGCTGCAAGCTAATAAGAGCGTAGTAAAGATGGAAGCCTAACGCCATCTCACTGTCTGGTATCTTAGAATGAATTGCTCTGTTTTCCTTGTTGTTGAGTCTCTGTATGAATCTTTAACTAGTCAGTTTTAATATGTACAGTCTTCCTGATAATTATACTGAGAACTTTATTTTCTTTTTTGATACAGTAAGGGGAATCTCCTTCAAGAAAGGAAATAACTTGTTTTCTTGAAGGGGTCACATCAATGAAACAACATAATCACAACTTAACTATCTTGCTGATAGGTAAATGCAAAGGAGAAACCAACACTTTTGCCTCAATGCTTGTTTTTAAAGTAGGAATCATTGATCCTTTGACATTATTCTATTACCTAAAAGTTTATTTCCATTACAACAAGTGACTGATGGAGACGTTATTGCAGATGATGATGGATTTTGTGCAGTGAACTCACTGTACCACTACTGGAAAGCTACATCCTTTTTGTCCTTTGTTTTAGCTCATCAGAAAGCAGCTCATCTGTAAAATAGTCTGTTTTAAAAGACATACTATGTTGTGAATCAGCTGGTTTCTGACAAGTTTTGCCTTTAGGTTTTAAATAAGTCATGCAGAAATCATATAGACTTAATTTAAAATACAGGAAATGTTGCTATATTTTCTTGTGTATCAGACATCTGGGTAAAAGATGCACCCCTTGAAGTAAAGATAAAATTATGGGAAAAAATACTTAACAAATTTGATTGGGTTTTGATTAACCTTTATTACAGTGATTTCTACTATTTTTCCATTATGTAACTTTGGCATGTAAAAACTTGTTTTTTAGGCCAGCATGTTTAGAAAAAACTCTCTCCTACATCAGAAAATATGGCACTCGAACATATGTTGCCATGACACTCCTTACCTTCTGCTCACATTTTAGGGGTATGGCTGTTGTACCTTATAGAGAATCCAAGCTCTCAGGTACTGGAAGTGGTACAGCCACATTACCCTGGGCAGAATGCCATAATGCTGCAGCTGTACTGCTTCTAATAGCTGAGCTAGCTTGTTTACAGGTAATGTAGTTATCTTTATATGGCATGGCATTGTGGCATGTAAATGTATCCTAAGTGTTTCCAGTCCTTCCTGTCGCAGCACAAAATTCCCAAAGAATGGAAGCTTAGAATAGATCTCAGTTAACAGACAAACGAGGCTTTTGTCCAAGTTTAATTAGTCTCTCGTGTTTTGAAGAAGAGCTTCAGGCCTTAAAAATAGCAAATTAGTGAAAAGTAAAAGCTAAGTCTGGTCATAATCTTTACCAGGCTTCTCAGAAACTCGGCTCAAGTAGGTCACACTTCTCATGATTCTGTTGCTTTAAAAACACTGAGTTTTGGTGTTTCAGGGAATTTGTGCCAGTTTTGGTGATGCCTATATTTAAGGAATATTACAGATATTTAGAATATCGCAGATGAAGTTTAACTTTACTTGCATGATCTGATTTCAGTGGGACTGATCACGTAAGCAAAAAGTACAACCAAAGCAGTCATCTTTTCACAATTAGGCTCTACAGCCCCGTCAAATGTTCTTAGTTATTGAAAAAAAAATAAGCGTCTTAAAATTTCTTCACCTGCATTCTGACCATTAATCCACATCTGCTAACATTACTTTAACACTCAATATCTTCTTAAACAGCCACTTAAAAACAGATACAAAAATGTTTTATTTTTTCCTCCCCAAATAGGAAATTTCCCTTCACAATTCCACTGATCTGAAATAAAGGGTAGGCAATATTCATTAAACCAACAGGTTCCATCTTTCTCCACTAATCAGTAATACAAAGTGTATGTTAGAAATATGCTGCAGCCAGCTGATAAGCTAAAGAACTGGAGAATCAGGTCCTTGAGTACCTAGGAAGCATTTTAATCCATGCAGAATACTAATAAAATGACATTTCCATTTCTGTATTGCAAGTGGAAAAATGTGTAGAATTTAGCATTCCTGTTCTCTTCGCCTCTCATCTGACTTCTTACATTTCTCACTTGGTAAATAAGTTGTTCTCTAAACTTGGGTAGCAGTGAGACTAATACTGCTGTAAGTCAGCAGTAATGTAGTCCCTCTCATATTGAACTGTTTAGCATTTTGGCTGCTTTGTTTATCCACTTAGAAATGAAATGATCACCTTACCATAGGATGGCAGATATATGTTTTTAACATGCGAACTGTGTTCATAGATATCTGCTCTACACGACATATACAGGTTTTTAAAATATTAAATTATTATTTGTAGGAACCTGCCACATCAGACTCAGATTCCACAGCAGCAGACTGCAGGTCAGTATAAAAATCAGTTCTGACAGATCAAGTGATAATGGAGAACAGGCACCAGCCAATACTTACACAGCTGTTGGCCCACAACATTGGTTTGGAATTGATGTTTTAAAATTCCAGAATTTGCAAAGAAATCATTGCAAGGTTTGGCATGAAGCCAGGGGGAAGAACCAGTAGAAAAGCTATAGTAGGAATGGGGCTCAGGCCATTGGGATTCAGGCAAGCTGAATCCAAGATCTCAATTAGACCAGCCTCTCATTGTAATACCTGACTACTGATTTCCTGGTGATACTTGGGCTGTTTGGATTCCAGTGTGGGCAGGAAATTTGTGATTCTTACAACTACCAAGGATAGTTTGACTACTGAAGCAGCCTTTATACCTCGTGGTCCTCAGGTATAGAGACTGGGAGATTTCTACTGGCCCTAGTCATCACTTTGCATCACTCTGATAAGCTATCATATACCTGTTCTGGTGAGAGGACGAATCCAAGCCTCTTTCTGTTTATCTTCTGTTATCATCCCTGGTGTGAAAAAAAATTACATTTGTGGCCAGCTAAGAGAGTGGAGAAGAAATCAAACTAGGAAAATGGAGTTGCCAAAGAGTAATAATAGGTTAAAGGAAGCAAGTTTCAGAGTCCACAAGAAGCAGCATTTATACTCTTCATACGTAATATGCAGACTGTAACCTTAAACACAGGTTTGGTCTAACTTAGTGTTACATAAGAAATCCTTGTTTGGTATCTTCATTCTAAATCCTTGTTCTCCATTACTGCTTTCGGGGGATTAAAGGAGAATTTCGTATGACAACATTTCAAAGATTTGAGGCAAGTATATAACTGACAACTTCTGCCCTGTGTTTTTTCATTATCCAAGAAACAACATTTGTAAAATCTTGGGTATAATTTTGCATGATATTGTTAAATTGTTTTGGTAATATTTTTCCAATATTAAAAAAAAAATAAGTAGAAGTGCTAGGTGGCATAGTAGAGCTTTGTCCAAAGCTTTCAGCACCAGAAGCTAGGGTTAAAATTAGCTTCGTGCATACCCATTAGTCATTTATAAAGGAAAAATAGGGACACTGCAAACATTTGTTTTTTTTAAAACCAGTTCCTACTCAGTAGAAATCTAGTTTTAGCTTAGTACTTGTGAGAGAGAGCTGCGTGGCTCCGGTCTTGAGAAGAAATGCACGTATGCTGCTTTTAGAACATTTTGCAAATATGTGTATGCTTAATACTTCTTTTCATGGGGATTCTGCAGTGCTTGAGTAGCAAACAAAGCAGTTCATTGTTGCCGTTTTGCTGAAATGAGATTGCAGTGTCTGGAGGTGCTAGACAGCAAATGAAAGGAACAGAAATAGTTACTGAAATTGCTGTCCTTGCTGATGAGATCTTGAGCCACCTGAAGCTATTTCCACTGTATTTGCCAACTGCTGTTCTACGTGAATTGAGAATGTGAATTGTTACAAAATTAGTGTTTTTGCGTCCTTTGCTGCTAGTGGAAGATTAGCAGTGGTTTCTCTGCACAGTGGGAGTGATGTGCTATCTTGTTCCTTAACTGCTCTCACCCCGTTTTCCATTTTTGCAGCTTAGGTACCACTTGTAACACAGGTACCATCTGTCCTTTCATTTTTGTGCAAATGAAGAGCAGCTGATCTGACATCCCCCAGATGATGTTTTATGTAACTTTCTGGTGTGTTCTAGTCTCTCAAAGTAGTGAAGACGTTGCCCATTGTGCAGTTCTCCTCTTATGCCCAGTGCCACTTCCCTTCCAAAATAGAGTCCATATTTGGACTCTTCCTCATTGCAAGATGATGCCTTGGGACCATATCACTAGCTGGCACTGGCTAAGGTCTCCAAATTACTTGGGGTCCATATATATCCACTCAAAGAATCAAAAAACTTAATTCTCTTCCCTTACAACAGAGCCAAAACTAGGCTTATCAGAGAACTGTGCTTGTGTCCTGCTTTTCTCATCTATTTTCCAGTTTGCCCTGGAGTGGCTGAAGGACATTCACATGAGTAGCACAGGACTTAGTTCTGAGGGTAGCTGATATGTGTATACTATATTTAGCAAAGACATGAAGTATGAGAATTATGCTTCTTTTTTAACAAGGAACAACAACATAGACCTGCCCTATAGCAGCTTGCAAAAGTCTCTCTCTGGCTGTTCTTAAACTTCTGCTTTTCAGTAGCCACTATTTTCATATTTTTTCCTAAAACAAGCTTCACCTTTTCCCCAGCAGAAATTTTTTTTGGGAAGAGTAAAAACTCTTAAACATAAAAATCCGATACCTGTGGAAGATCAGTTTAGTAAATATTTCATAGTTGTCTTGTTCCAGTTTCCACTTCATACAAAACAAGAATAATCAGTACTGAAGTGATAGCTGTTGTTTGTTCCAGAGAGTATATTATACATGTGGGACAACAATGTAATTGGTGTTTCTGGGTACCCCCAAAATACATGCAATTCATTTACATCTATGGTGAAATACTAATACTCTGGTTTTGGATGTCTTCAACATGGATGCCTGGAGTTTTGTGATCACTAACATTGCCAACAATTTCCAGAGTATTGAATAAATTGAATTCCTTGTTTTCTCTGTGTATGTTTTAAAAACAAATATGCAGTCACAGTAGTACCTTGCAGGGAGGTACACTCACAATTGAGGTTATTTTCACCTAAAAAATAGGGAGCACTCAGTGGGAGGCATGGTTAGTTATACCACACCCTTAGGTACCATCTCAAGTTCAAGTATAGTCATAGGTAAACACTTGATACAAAAGAATTCCCCTTGCACTCACTTCCCTTCCACTCAAGTTCATATTATTGCATGACAGTTAAAGCTTCCTTCCAGGATCTAGCAGTATAGCAAACGGTTAGACAATGTTGATAATGATGTAATTACTTTCCTGAGATCTTGGCACGTGTGTTTCAAGAGCATTTTTAACAGGAAGTTTATAACCTGCAGTAGCAGAGCAATATAATATTAATATGTCAACAGTAGAATTCAGGCATCCTTAAAAAATTACCTAACATCATTATCAAATTAACATAACTTTATATTCATTATTAAATGAACATAAGATACTTTCAAATGAATATACAAAAATAAAAATGTATGGCCAGGCAAGTTACAGCACTAGAAGTTTAGTTTGTCCATTTTCCTTTTTTTCCATGAAGAGTTATCAGAAATAACCAATACTGCTAAATGCACCATGTACCAGAATTTGAATTACTCATTGCATGACTTTTAAAAGCCTAATGGACAGCACTAATTCAGTATTTAATTTGAATATCAATTTTACAAATAATTTCAATATTCAGTAACCAGTTTTTCTACTGAAGTTTAAAAATAGGACAGCTAGACTGATACTTGCTGACATTGCAGTTGTACTTTCAAACAGGTTGGGAATATGCAATACGAAAACTAATTTGGAGATTAATAAACAATGTCACAATACTGATTTAATGTCTGCATTGCACTGCTGGAATTGGCTGTTGACCTAGTAGATCTAAAGGTACATACAAGGCTTCTTTTGATAACTATTACTTTTGTTCCTCTGAAAACTGATAAAATCCAAGCTACCTACTTGGTTAAACAAAAGGATGGGTTAATTCTTGTAATGCAAAAATAATTTTAAACAGCACAAAGGTAAGTAATATTCCCAACTTGAGTGTTGCAGTTTCCCTTAGCTGGTCCTGTTAGCTCTAAGTAGATGGAGAGATTCACAATCAAATCAGGAGGGCCTGCTAAAGAAAGACTAAAGAAAACAGATAAGAAAACCACACAAGTCCTTTAGCCCCAAAGGTGAGTGATACTTTCACAACTGTCAGGGAAGCCAGTTACAGTCATAAGAGTCAATGTTATTTTGAATATGTTTGTTTATGTTCACACTTGCTTACACTGAAGCAGCTAAAAGCTATACAGACCTGTCTAAAATGCAGGGAGGAGTGGGGAGATAGAGCTTTACATCTGGAGCCAGGTTTGGAAGATTTTTAAAAAAGTATTTAAAATTGCAACAGATTAACTAACTCATGATTACATCTTTTCCAGAGCTAGGATAAGACAGACATTTCAGTGGCCAGTTTTGAATTCAAATACAGATTCCAAGTTCCATTGGTTTTGGAAAGGATCGATAATTTCCATTTACTTACTAGGATGACAAGTATTGTAATAACTGAATGTTGTAAGAACAACTTCTGCCACTAATGGATTATATGCATTCTTATTTATTTACAGGTAAATGGTATCCCTGAGGAAAGGAAATTGACAGAAGCAATGAATTTGTAATCAGATAAAACAGTAATCACATCCTATTTCCTTATTTGTTCAAATTGATGCATGAGCTCTTCTGATGTATATTGTGCATGACACGGTATTAAAGATTTCAGTGCCAGATAGTACAATCATTCCCATATAAACTAATGTACTGTATCTTTTTTGTACTTTGGACATTTTTGACAATTTGTAAAAACACTGATAACTTTTTATATTTGTTACATTACAAGAATATCTTTAAAATAAACACATTAATAAATATCAAAACTTTCTTCTGACTCCCATGAACTACACAAAATTCTAAGGAAAAAGTGAGTTCTTTCAAAATGCCAGATTCAGAGATAGATGGACTCTGTTCTGTAAAGGTTAAAGTTGATTTGCATGTCTGATATAGAAGAAACAAGTGTACAGAAACTGATGGAAATCTAGCTCAAGATCTTGCGATTGCAAAATCAAAAAGTTCCTATCATTACCACAGAGGGAGGATATTATGACAACCAGTTTATTACTGTTGGTGGGATATGTTGAGCTTACACAACTCGTTTTTGCAAGTCGGAAATATAATAAAATTAACACTTCTACAGCATCTTCTCCTTAGAAGGAGCCAACATGTAACATTTTCTAACTACTTTATTTTCATATTGGAGTAACAATCAAAGCTTGGGTGACATGGTGAGACTTAAGCTTCAAGTATCATTGTTATTAGAGCACTGAATGCAGAGATAGGCATAGTGTAACCATGTAATTTTTTAAAGGAGCTAAAATTTAGAATTTAAATATTGGTCCCTACTAATTTGTAATCCATATTTATCAAGTTTCTCAGTGTGCAGGCTTTGCATGGCAAAATATTCAGCAATCTGGTTTTTCACTACTAAAGTCAAATTAGCAGGATGAAATGCACTTTTTAAAATAAACTGTTTACTCCATACTATAAAAAATAAACATTGTTCTTCTTCCCTAAAAATTGGCAAAGGCAATAGTTTGGAGGGCATTTTTTGATTAAGAATAACATAGTTTAAGCCAGAGGCTTTGTTTTAAATATCCAGGGTGCTGTTTTCTTTTTAAATCTTAATAAAGAAAATCCAAGAACATGTTAAAACAAGGACTAACTCAAGCCACTTACAACACATGTCAAATACACACTTACCTGATACATGATAGTGGTTTTAAAAAGTTTTAATCTATAAAACAAAATGTTTTTATATATGGTCATTTTAAGAGCGTGTTTTACAAACAGATCATTCAAATTTATTTCAGGTATTTATTTTATAAAATATTTACATGCATGGTATGAACTTCCATAACAGTCTCTAATCCTTTTTTCAAATCTGACTGAGATTCAAACTTTTGGAACTCTATCGTTATTTGGATCAGTTTGTACAGCAAGGGAGTTTCTGCCTCTATTACAGATACACCATTTTAACTCATATTTTTGCTTTCTTTGTAATGCGTTCTGTGTATCTTTATTTGGCATTTTAAACTTAATAGGACATCTTGAAGTCGAGGCACAAAACAGTGCATGCATTAAAACCACTATACAGTAGTCATGTCCTTTGGATTCCAAGCATCTATAGTGTTTATTCCAGAGCCACAAATTTAAAATAACTGGAGCTGTCGTGACAATCAAAATCTCGTGTGTTAGCAGTGTTTGTCACTCTGGAAGAAAGCTGTAAACAAAGCCGAAGAACTCAAAACAAATTAATTCCAAATTGAAACAAGTCTCTTCTGTGCAATACAGAAGGCTTCTACAAGAAGTGCCACATTTTCAAACATTCATAATATTTTAACCATTAATATCTGGGGAAAAACCAAAAACCAAAACAAAATTCACATTTTTCCTCAAATTCTACTAAAAAAATCCAGAATGTGAGTTGACAAAATAGCTTTGGATATGAACTCTTAAGGCTAATGAGAAACAGCATATTTCATGTTGCCATGTAGTAGATGACAATCAAAAGGACAGGAATGTTTTACAAATACCCTGGGATGTGCAAATACATGGATTTAGTTGATTTCACAGATGATGCACACATAAAGCTAAGGATGTACATGTTTGTAGGTTTGGGTGCTGGTGTTTCAACACCCTGAAAGGTAGGGAAGGGAAACCCTAGGATCTTTTACAGCCTTCACTGGAATGTACAGACTGTAACACACAGGACTCCTCTACACATGCAGGTAATGGCACAATGGGATCTAATGAATGATCCACACAATCATGCCTCCTTCCATGACGTGCATGGCAGGAGGAACAATTGTGGATCATGCATTAGATCCTATTGTACCTTATTGCCAGTAGACGGGGAGCCCGCAGGTGCTGCGACCTCCCAGCTGCAGGCTTCATTTATGTGGATTGATGAATAGTATTGTTCATCTGAAAGTAAAAATACATTTTAGATATAAGAATATGGCAGCACCATTGATCTGTAACTGTAATGGAAAATTTAAGAGAC